GTGAATTTGAGAATGTGGCAGTCTGTGTTGAAAATAACCCGTCCCGAACGGTCGGGCAGCAGGTATTTCAAACACTGGAGGAAGGGAAGGACTGATGGATGAATGGACGGAGAGAACAGAAAGAAGAGAGGCCAAACAAAGAGAGGAGGGATGGGAACTGGGAGAGAGAGAGGGAGTGAAGGGAGGGAGAGAGAGGGAGGGAAGGACTGACTGATGAATGGACGGAGAGAACAGAAAGAAGAGAGGCCAAAAGAGAGAGAATGAGGGATGGTAACTGGGAGGGAGAGACGGAGGGAAGAAAGAGAGAAGAGGAGAGCAGGAGGAGTGAGGGACAGACAGACAGACGAAGGGGAAAGGACAGAGACCAAGAGAATCAGCATGAGTCTTTAGTCCTGGATACAAGTACTGCTATGTTGAGTATTTCGGATTAGAATTAGTCCAAAGTAAACTTTGCTGTTTGTAAAAGAAAATGTCCTGGATCAGGTGCTCAAGCTTTGTGACTGGGTTAATAGCGTTAAACAGCAAACACACACACACCTCACTGGAAATAGTCTCGACTCTGACTCACGATTGTAACTGCTTATAGGCTGCATATGGACCACTAATATGTCACTCTAATATACAATAATCAGTTTTAATAACTGAAAATCAACATTCACGTTATTTCCTTCTGAGTAACCACATCAGAATACTTGTCAAGTAGAGGGCTGACTGTCAATATTGATCATAGAGACTGACAATCAATGAATAAATATCAATCTACTATTGATAAACATTGGAGAAGTAACTTTGGACAAACATAAACACATGTAAAGGAAGTCTCAAATACAATAAACTAAAATAGAATTAACTTAAAGCAACCACTATTTTGAGTTCATTATAACCCTAGTTTTATACTAAGTGGCTAGGACCAAAACACAGTTTGTTATATCCGTCAGTTTGTTACCTCAAGCCTATTTATCATAACCATGGCTTGATGTATTCTCTGGAGAGAGGTGACACATTTCTGTTACAGGTGAGTAATTTATTCAGTCTAAAAGTTGACAGGCCAATTTGGCACAAGTCTGAATGGGTAAACAAAATTTAATCACAATAGCTTATGTAATATAGTTTTGATGACAGTGTCCATACTAAAAATCGCTGATAATTCTTCCCGTGGATAATATTTCTGATTTTAGATATTTTCAGTCAGCCTAGTCTAGAATATATTATTGTTAGGTTTAAATGAAAATAATGTTTATTCAACAACATTTGTTACGAGGCAAAACTGATGAGTGATGAAAGTCGGGTCAAGATCACTGCTGACAAAATCATCTTATATTATAAATATGCTATCATCACCAATAACCTCAATGTTTTATATTTACACATGTCATATTGACCACAAATTTCACTTAATCCAGACAGTATCAGTTTCAAAGAAGGGTACTTCTGAAGTCTGCCGATGTATTGAACAAACTCACAATAGCCAATAAAACCAAAATTAGCATGCAAAGCATATTTCCTCCAAGACCTTGAACTGCCACAGATCACTAAAAATCCACTACAAAGGAATTATCATTCCATTGAAACTCTAGTGGAATGGATTTTGTGCTCAGTGAGGTTCAAAATGTCCATCTGCCCAAGACTGTAAATGCTCAAATTGCTGCCCGTTGCTACCGATTCCCTCAAGAGCGCCATGACTAATGGTAATTGCAAATCAATATTTTTCTGTTTCCATGGTTACTTGGAGAATGCAAATGTAACAAAAATTTCAGACATCATGAAAGATATCATGATACAGACGTTGTGGCGTAATCTTTAAATCTGAAGACATATGATCCACAAAGCTGACATATTTCAATCCACAAATAACATTGATGATAAATTTGTCTATAGAGAAGCCAGAGTTACCTCCCTTACACTGTTGAGCACTACAGATGAACACAGTGTTGATGGATGTCATTTTGATTCATAGTAAATTTCCATGCTGATAAATAATGTTCAGATTCGAACATTTCTAGGAATTGCTCTGAGTGAGTGAGTGAGTGAGTGAGTTGGGTTTACCCCCACTTTGAACATTATTACAGTTGTATCCAGCAAGTCAGTTTAATTAGCAAAGACAATCCAGAGTAACAAATGTCTCAGACATTTTTAGTCAGCATGTAATCACTGTTTACAATAGGCTTGATTTGATTGATCAGTTATGATCATAAAATATTACAATTTCTATTTTCTTGAGGCATTGTATATCAAAACACCCTATTCCCTCTGACAAAAATGTCTGGAGGAATATTACTGACTCATAACCAATGTGATATTATCAAGTACGGAGAACAGCTTCCAAATGATTTCTTGGAAATCAAGTGGAAGAGGCCAACATCTGTTCTGTTTATGCGTATTGCATTTATAAACTATCTTTAGCTGACCCCCACTAACAAATTAATGAGCGAGTGAATGTTGTTTAATGTCACGTTCCACAATATTCCTGACACCTAGCAACGGCCTGTAATATATCAAGTTTAGACCGGACAATGAGAGACTGTGCAGGTGGTGTCTCTCCATGGCAAACCAACTACACGGGCGGAGAGATTAGGAATGATGTATCCCTGATTGATCAGCAGTGAGCATGGGTTCATGATTTATCCCATAATATGTATCAGAAAAGTAATTATCGAACACTGTTCACATGTTGAGCAAATGATTGAGTGAGTGAGTTGAGTTTTACGCCCCACTCTGGAATATTCCAGCTATATGGTGGTGGTCTGTAAATAATCGAGTCTAGACCAGACAATCCAGTGATCAACAGCATGAGCATCGATCTGCGCAAATGGGAACCGATGCCAAAACATGAGCATCGATCTAAGCGCAAATGATTAATACCTATGACCAAAGAAAACACAGCAATTATTGTCAGCCTGTCAGCAATTAAGTCCCAGCTGGATAAACCAGTGGTTGATATTATGATCAACATGTCATGTTGTTGCGACCTGTGAAGATCCAGGTTGAAACTAAACATCAGCAACCAGGCTTGTCATAAGAGATGCCTGACAGAATCAGGTGGTCAGGCTCACTTACTCTATTTACAAATGTCATTGTTTCCCAACTTCCTAAATCACTGGATTGTCTGGTCAAGACCGATACCGTACAGATCATCATCACATCGCTAGAATAATGCTGAGTGCTGCGTGAAAGGACCAACTAAAATGCCATGTTGATGAGGTGCAATAATACTTATTCACCATGGTCACAAAGTCTTACTGATCAAGTCCCTTCCCTGCTGTCAATAACAGGGTGTTGGGGATGTGTTCTGGGGTCTACATGAACATAATGAACACAAATATCAAGTTGGACAATATAACGCTGCTTTCAGAACCAGTCAATACAGAAAACACAAAGCTTCTCCATTATGTAACAGACTCCTTCAACTATAATCCAACAACTGTTACCTCCCCTTAACTACCACAAAGATTGGGAATCTGTTCTGCACTGAACCTCCAATGCTCTATGCTATAATCATTATCTGTTTACAAGTCATACAACAGTCTGCCTCTCTGTCCCTGAACCACATTATTTTCTTCATTATCTCCCATCTCACTGGGGCTCCTTTTCAATGTAAATTGGATTTTTTTGTTACTATCAAAGTTATATATATTCAGAGACTACGCAGATCTTTGTCATACAAAACCACTTTTCATTTTTTTTTAAATAACATGCCTTAGTACAAAAAAGGCATCTGCTGGTTCTGACATGCTTCAAAACAATTATCATCAACTATCTCTGAAAATAATCTTATTAGACAGCGTAATTGATGTTATTCCCATGTGACTCATATGAACAGTTAATCTTCAACTGAACAAGGTTGGCCATTACTTTATCTTGAAATATTTCTGCATAACCAAAACAGGAAATATATTCTAAACAAGTCGTAAACAGACATACATGTGTTCCTCATATACTTTAATGTATTTACCCCATCCCTTTGTGATAGAATCAGTTTGATAGCTATGATGACCTCATTACTCGGTGCATACTACAGAGCCTGGGGGAAATTGGCTGATGTATAACGCAGTTTAGCTGGAGAAGACAGGAACCTGTGGGTCATCGCTGTATTAGATGAAGATGATAACCTATAGCAACATAGTGTCCCATCGTTCTCAATCATATGCCTTCCAGTTCAAAATATGAGAACCATTTTAAATCAGATCCACTCTAGATAAGATTCATAATATAGTGAGTGAGTGAGTATGGTTTTACGCCAGTTTTAGCAATATTCCAGCAATATCGTGGTGGGGGACACCAGAAATGGGCTTCACACATTGTACCCATGTGGAGAATCGAACCCGGGTCTTCAGCTTGCGGCGCGAACGCTTTAACCACTAGGTTACCCCATCGCCCCTTCATAATATAAAGTTGACAAGGAGCATATTGTGGAAGTCAGTTGTAAGTTAGTGTATGTAAAAGTATGTAACAATATGTTAAATGGAAGAACACTAAACAAGGCAGCCTCAGCTAAATGCAGGAGGTGAGCACCAAGTTGTGGAAGTGATAAATGTCAACATTTCTGAAACCCAAAACTCTGGAGCCGACAGCCAAAGGTCATAACACAAGCATATCTTGGATTCAAACCACAACCACAGATCCTGGCACAGCCAAGGAACACAGCTCTGAACACTGAATCACCACGTACCACTAATCCAGCTAGGACCCAATCCACAAAACAATCCTGGCACTATGACAGTCGCAAATCCATGTTAATTATGGGAGCTACAATCCCCTTATCGCTAAAGTGTCTTTGTGGAAATGGACCCTTCCCCAAAACAGGGATGGCAACAGGAAAATTTATTTTCAGCTGAAAACATAATATTGTGTCATCGAGTGGGGGGGTTCAGCGTTTCTCAACGGATTTAGACGAATCACAGAACTGATCAATCTGAAATAAAATTGTGAAAATACGCGAATCAGCGGAAAATTGCCATCCCTGGCAAAAACATGAGTGAGTTAACATAATGTGGCTGTACCTTCTTGAGTTTCTCGAAGGTTCCCTGTGGACATTCCCTCTTGTAGAACTTCTTGAGTCTCCTCATCTCGGGTTTGGCCATGCCGATGGCCTCCAGGTCTTCCTCCTTCACATATTTCAGGTGATCCACACACGTGATCTTCAGCTCATTGCGGAGCCCGTTGAGGTAATGTTCCAACTGCGCTTCCGCCAGGAAATCCTGGAGGTCCCGCGGAGAAGACATCTCTTCGTCCTCAGTTCCTGGAACACAATGTGGAGGGTTAAAAAATAGATCAGTTTTTAAATACAATATAGAAACCTTCATATTGGAATCATTAGTAAAACATTGGATTGAGAAAATTAGAGGTAACAGCTTTCTCAGTTGCTGTGACACAATGTAGAGGGTTAACAAAGGGATCGGTACTGAAACACATCAAGGGTTAATATTGGAATCATCATTAAAACATGAAGATGAGAGTACTGGAGGAATCATTTCTTCCTTCAGTTGCTGAAGCACAACGTGGAATGTTCATAATACTGAACTACTGAAACACAACACTGAAGTGATAACATAGAATCCTTGCTGTAACAAGTCCGGAGGATTAATACAGACAGATCTGGATGTATCATCTTTTCTTGCTGAAATGTATAATCTTTTCTTGCTGAAATGGACCCGTGAAGATCCGGGGTAGAATAGGTCTTCAGCAACCCATGTGCTTGCCATAAAAGGCGACTACGCTTGTCGTAAGAGGCGACTAACGGGATCGGGTGGTCAGTTTCGCTGACTTGGTTGACACATGTCATCGGTTCCCAATTGCGCAGATCAATGCTCATGCTGTTGATCACTGGATTGTCTGGTCCAGACTCAATTATTTACAGACCGCCACCATATAGCTGGGATATTGCTGAGTGCGGCGTAAAACTAAACTCACTCACTCACTCACTCTTGCTGAAATGACCTTTCAGAAGCTGGGGTTGAGAAAGGGCTGCACCACTATATTCAGACATGAGAGCGGCAAAGCACAAAAAACACTGAAAATTTAGCCGGGTTTCTTGGAGGTCTTTTAATGCAGATTTACATCCACCTAAAAAAACGTTCAAAATGAAACAAAATTCCCGGGAAAACTGCAGATCAGCAGAAAATTCTCATGTCTGTATATTGCTAGTTGAATAGACTTATCCTTAGTTCTGAATATTAAATGTTTACAGTAGCAAATAAACCCATATAAATTGAAAGTGAGTCCCAGTGAGACGGGAGGAAATCAAGACTTGGCTGATTTAGGGCTTTAGCTTTGCAGAGAGGGGTAGGCTGTAGGGAAAATAATGTGGTTCAGGGACTGCGAGACAGACTACTAGATGCTCATGACAGCAACCACTGTTTTCTTCTGGTCTGGACTCCAACATTTATAGGTCATGTTGACACAGAAGGAATATTGGAATCAGTGCTTAATAGAATTTCCATGTAATTGTCAATCATGGTCGTATAATATACAGCTCCCAATACATCAAAATACATCTCGAAATACAGATATCTGTATTGTAAAATATTGCAATACATTTTTGTGTCAATACACAGGCCTTATAATCTGTACAAAAATCATATATTGATTAAGTCTAAAATCTCTTGAGACAATTCACTAGGAAACCCTAAATTCAGAATAATAAATAATAACACTGTGCCAAAATTTAATCATTTGAAAAAATCAATATGAACTCTCTTCCGAGGCCTGCCACTACAACCCACCAGTGGAAACGAATCTAACTGATTGAAGATAGGATGACACTAGCGTTCCCACAAAGAAACTCTCATAATGAGTCCATGAAATTTAAGAAAGGCTTGGTGACCTAACCCAATAACTGGCCGAGGTCACCTTGACCTGACAAGGAGGCGCCACAGACAGTGAACACTATAATTCCATGGATCATTGGTTGGAACTCTTGGTAGTTCCAGCAGCATCAGATCATCTACAACTAAGGATGCAGCCAGAACAGATCTGCTCCAGGAAGCTGAGGCCATCTTCTATGTTTGTCTGGGCATGGTTGGATGGCTGACAGCAGTTTCTGATTTAGGTTGATGTTACTTGCGATTAAAGTGTTTGAGTGAAAGAATGTTGTTCTTGTTTATTTTATATATTTATTTATTTATTATTTTTGTGTGTGTGTGTGTGTGTGTGTGTGTGTGTGTGTGTGTGTGTGATATATATATATATATAAAGTTTTTTTAAACAATACCAGCAAGGACTCTCTCCAGAACACCCCTTGCAGTGAAGAAAGAAAGAAAGAAAAAAAGAAAGAAAGGCCTTGTCTCTTGGATTGTTAGTCTGTGATAGTTAAGAATACATTACAAAAGTCCAACTTACCGGTAAGTCTAAATAGGTTGGGCAAGTCGAGATTGCCTCAGTCTGATATTAAGAACTTCCCTGTGCTCGTTTAGAATTTCTACTGATATAGTTATTAGGTATTTTGCAGATATATATATTTGTAATATGAAAACTTTATATCTGGGACTAAACATCAGTCTGAAGGAAGTCTTTCTGTCACAGGTTTTTAGGTTATTTCTAGAAAGTCCCTAAGAATATTATTTAATGATGTAAAACCAATCAACAAAGGTTGTCTGCATATTAAATATACTTCTTTAACATGGAAGACAGTATGTTTAGCTCAACATAGCAATATGCCTTTCAACATAATATTCTGGCCACAATATAAATAGCATCACAAGCTTCTTTGCCACAAACATGGGATGAAGTCATCAAAGACTGAACCTACTGAAGATATTTTGACCACAATAAAAGGCGTTCTATTCAAAGGAAGCATCACAAGTTTCTCTGACTTGATACTTCAGGCCAGCACAAACATTGGATGAAGTGGTCCAAGACAAAATCTACTGAAGAACGAGCACCCAAGTCATGACGCTACATTGAATGGATATGATGTCTGACACTGACAACTGGATACTTGTACACTGCTAATAAAGATAGAGACCCTGCTGAACATCAGTGCTGTATATCTGCTGCTCCACCATCGCCATGACCCAGAACTGAAGTGTGGCAGCACACTGGCTACACCCTCCCTGCCGATGCAACTTTGAACTTCACACTCATCTCCCATGACCCCAGAACTGAAGTGAGTGAGTGAGTGAGTGGTGAGTGAGTGAGTGAGTGAGTGAGTGAGTGAGTGAGTGAACTTCAGTGACTCATGAGTGAGCCCAAGTGAGTGAGTGAGTGAGTGAGTGAGTGAGTGAGTGAGGTTTTATGCCACTTTTAGCAATATTGCAGCAACATCAAGGCAGGGGACACCAGAAATGGGTAACACACATTGTACGCAATGTGGGGAATCGCATGGTCTTCGTCACAACCCTACTTTAACCCAGCCCTCCCTGCAATGCTAAAAGCCCTAAATGAAGCAAGTCTAGATTTCCTCAGGTTCAGAATCTCCCAACTCCCAGGGGTACCTTTTCAATGCCAAGCCCTAAATTAATGTTACAAGTCAAAATTATACATATTCCTGAGACTAAGTGTTAGTTTCAGTAAACATCCAATTGTCTAGTTACTCACTGACTAGATCAGCACAGATTGGTTATAATTTCGCTGAACTTGGTTGACACATGACATCGGTTCCCAGTTGCGCAGATCGATGCTCATGCTGTTAATCACTGGATTGTCTGGTCCAGACTCGATTATTTACAGACCGCCGCCATATAGCTGGAATATTGCTGAGTGGGGCGTAAAACTAAACTCACTCACTCACATATTCAGAGACTAAGTGTTAGTCTAGTAAACATCCAATCTGTCTAGTCCTCACTGACTAGATGCACAGATGGTTATAATTTCGAACAGGTTCAATTCTTCAATTTTGTTGCAAATCATAACACAGTAAAACTGAAAAAACAAACATGATGCACTTCGTCTTTAAGCAGGACCAGCTTGAGGCCAGACCAGTGAAATTAAGTTAACTCAAGTCCTCTCTAGAATTTCTAAGAACTTCCAATTTTCAGAAATGTATTAAGTGTCAGTTCTCATGGCAAGGAAACCAAACGTATCAAGGAAACCTCAAGACTCTCAATTTCAGGATGAGATTAGTTTGGTGGAGCTGAGAAGTGGATAAGAACGGAACAGGGGTAATTGTGTCCAACAAAGTATTTTCTAGAGAGACAGATATCCATATAACAACCTGTTTTTTTCAAACATATTGTAGCAATAAAACTTTAATATGATGGCTGATATGGAGAAAGTCAATAAAGAGAAACTCGAATCAGACAAGTTCACAGACCCAGAAGGACTGATTCAGCACGTGTTTGCTACTTTGTCTGGGAGTTCACACAAGGCATTAATTACAACCGCAAAACTGCATATCGTTTAAAGAACCCTCCATGGTATCCAAAGAGTTACATTGTAATAAAATCCATTTGTTACAAGTTCAGATACAGATGAAAGAAGTTCAAAAACAACCACATGTTGATCACAAAACAAAAGTTCAAGGCTACAGAATAATCTGAGCAGTAAACAGTAAAAGGTGGATGTCAACTTCTTTATTTTGATGGACAGACATTTCGGAGTTTAATCTTACTCCTTCATCTTTTATCAAAATAAAAAAGTTGACATAATAAATTCTTGCCTTTATTGTGTATCACTTCTAAATGCCATTCAAAGACTCAATCTGAGAAGAATACACACAAATCACCAATACATTCAGAATATACACAAATCACAAATTCAGAATATACATCACAGATTTCTGTACATACTCATTAAGTCCCTGGCTGATAAATGATGCAGAATATATTTCCAATACTTGACAGTCATTGTGATCAGTGGAGAATACCCAGCAGCTCTTCAAGCCTGAACAAAGTGGTCTCAGTACAATCACTGGTTGATACAGCCCCCAGACAAACAAGCAATTGAAGATAGTGTAAACTGCTCCCCATGTGCTAATTGGCGACCTACTTTAATCAGGACCAGACACTGTTAATTGTTACCAGCTTCCAGGTTGTGCTTGACACCTGCTGTCTGTTATGTACAATGGTGTACATGGCAGGGCACCTGGGATGTGTCAGTGTTATCTCATTGGCTGACAGCTGATGATGTGATTAATTACAACAATTAGGCTGCAACACCTTGAAGATGTTATCAGTGGGATACAGAGACAGGGATGTTGGGAGGATGGGAAGTGGGGTGGGAGAGGGGATGGGGAGAATGTAGCTGAGGAGAGGCATGATTTGAGGGGAGATGGAAGAGTGGGTGAAGGGTGGGAGGGTGGGG